TGCGCTTTCCCCTTCGCGGGGAGGCGTTGTCGACCACTGTCCCTCGTCGGGCAGAACAACCCCCCTCCCCCCCGGCGGGCGGAATCCCTATGCCAACGAGCAGGACAACGTGGCCCCCCACACCCTCGTATGCTCCCCTCCGCGGGGAGATCAACACACCTTTGGGGAACCTCGCGATCTCCCCTCCGCGGGGAGATCAACGTGTCATTCGCACGTTCTCCACGTGCTCCCCTCCGCGGAGACACGTCACCGACCAACTGCCCACCTCCGAAAGAGCAAGTCAAACCCACTTTTCGGAGATCATGGGACAGTTGGGCTAGGGCAAATACCACGTCCTGGTCTTCACTACGTCACGTAAGCCCTAGCAGTCACCTGGGTTGAGCCTGACAATCCAGCCCAACACAAGTGACCGTTGGCCCAGCGCTGGGGTCTCTCTATAAATACCCTCTTCCACAAGAGGGTCAGGTAATTCACTTCTTACTCCTTTTTCTATACTTGTGATCATCCTGCCTAAATACTTACTTTGGCATCAGAGTGCCTTACAGGTACACCCCCTCCTCCTCCTCATCAACGGTGAACAGACAGCAGCCCAACAGAGTGTGGTCAGCTAGTGACCCCCTTTTGAGTGCCTTAGCTTCAAAGACTTAATGTGTTATTCGAACTCCAACTCAGCTATCAAGCTTATCTCATAACCTGCTAATGCATGACATCGCTATGTCACAATTCTTCACAACATTAAATAGTTTCTCTCTATAGAATGACAAGTTTAGATATTTCACACTCTTAGGGTGTGTTTGGTTCGGGGTAGATGGAGGGGAGGGGAGGGGAGGGGAGGGGAAATCTTTAATTAAATATGTTTGGTTCAAATTTTAGGAGGGGAGGGGAGGGGAGGGGAGGGGAGCAAAATCCCTCCAAAACACATTTTTTGGTTCCCTCCGAATTGGGGGGATTTGGAGGGGAGGGGAGGGAATATGAGTTTTAGTATTTAAAATTTATTATATTTACTAAAATATCCTCATTTTAATTTTATTATTTCAAAACTATTTGTTATCTTTTGTGTTACTGTTTTTTCTCGATTGTTTTCATCGAATTATTATAATTGTTCTCCACCTTCAAATTATTTTATAATTTTTATAATTAATATAAATCATAATCATTGTCTTTTTTTATAAAAAAATTATGTTTCGTTATATTCGTTTTTTTCTTTTAATTTTGTTATGTACTCTATCATATTTTCTTTTATATCAAATTGTAAACCATATCATTTTATTTATTTTTGTTTATTCATTTTATTAAATATTTTGAACCATTAATATTTAGTAATAAGTTATTTTATATATTTGTTTTGTTATATGATTCATCATAATTTAAACGATGTTATTGGCATATAGTTTAATTTATGTTGGAAAGTTATAAGTCGAATCAATTATACTCAATTTTTTAACTTTATGTGACAAATAAATATTTTTTTAATCACTCAATATTAGAAATTTTATTACCAACAAAAATACGCACGAATTTTTCACATTTTAATATCGTATGACTTATATAAGATCATAAGGATAAAACTGTAAATTATTAATAAAACCCCTCCCCTCCCCTTCTGAACCAAACACATTTTTAATTAAAATCCCTCCCCTCCCCTCCCCTCCTCTCTTTTGAACCAAACACTTATTTGATTAAAAAATTCCTTCACCTCCCCTCCCCTCCCCTCCCCTTCATTAAAATCCCTCCCCTCCCCTCCCCCTCATTTGAACCAAACAGACCCTTAAGAAGAGGAATGCTTCAACGGACTATCTAACAAAATATAAAGTTTATAATGATGCAGCGTACTGAACTTTTAGGGAGCCTTCTATTAAAATCATTAGTCTTATGCTAACTCATGTTAGTGGGACTTGGTTATATATATAATTTTTAATTTATTTTCCTTTTCTTTTTTCATTGTAAAAAAAATATTAACACTCTATTTATTAGAGATGAAAATTTGATTATTAAGCTAGATAATAATAATAATAATAATAATAATAAAATTTAAATTAAGAGTTTAAAGACAATGCACTATCAGTGTAAAAAAATATTACATAGACGTCCAATTAAATTATTTTAAATTATCAAATCAGAACAACATTTTAAAATTAAAAGCGTGATGTGGCAGAATCTATGTCTGTCATTGGTTGACATTATAAAAATATTTTATCTTGTCCATATATTTTTTCTCTTAAATTAATATAGAAAATTTAATAAATAAAAAATTAATATTTATATAATTTTTTTTATTTTTTCCTTTTTCTATGTCTATAACTTTTTTCATTAAAAAAAAATCGTTTAATTTTTCTTCTTACATTTTTCAGATCTCTCTTCAAAACCCTAATTCTATCGAATTCAGTTTGAGCCTCGAAAAACCTATCTCACCCTCTCTCTCTTCCTTCTCTCTCTAACGATTTTCCCGTTGAACAACGATCTATCAAGCACCACCATCCTTCATCAACGCTACTTTGTCTGAAACATCAGGTTGGCACTTCCTCTTATCCCGCTTCTCAATTTTCTCATTTTTTGTTCGTATTTTTCGTCTCAAAACCATAGCTATGATCTTCTGTCGGCAAGTCGTGGATTGTATCGAGGAGTGTCAAAATTGCGTGTTTGTTTTGTTTCTCGGTTAGTGATTCGAAATCCGCATTTTAGTTTTTCACGTGGTTGCAGAATTGAAGAAGCTTGAGTATCTCAGGATTTGTCAAGTGTGAAATTTGTATCGAATCACGCGTGGCTTGTGTTGGTGTTGGTTCATTTCTGCTTTGATTGTGTTTTCAATTTTGAAACTCGATTTGGATTTATCAGGTTTCTGGTTTCTGTGTTGGCAGTGTTTTTTTTGCGAGATAATGGAAAATGTTTTGTAGTTTGGGTATAGATATGATAGTATTTTGGTGATTTGTGGTGTAACGGTTAGTTCTCGAATTTTGAATGTTCATAGAGAATGATCACTGGTGGCATACTTGTGAAAAATCGGGAGCTACTCGTCCTAGCTCTGTGGAAGAATATTAGTTTGGTTTGATTTGGTTTGAGGAGCCGATGTCCCTTTTCGTTTCCTGTTTTCACTTGTTTTGTTACCTTGTTTTTTTTTTCTTTCACTTTATAGTGTAAACTGGAAACCAAGTGAAAACAAAGTTGCAGTTTGGTAATTAAAAGTGAAACCAAGTACTGGAAATATAAAATGTTTCTTGGAACCAAATGGATACTTCACTCTTTTTGTTTGAGTTAGGCTGCTAGCTTTGGTTTAAAGGTGAATTAGCTATAGAATTAATCTGAAGAGAACCTGTTCCTCAACGGGAATTGAAGGGCATGACTGTTGTTATTAGTATTTTGAACAGAATCTGATGTCTGAACATGGAAATATGGCTTTGTTATCATCTCCTTATGGTTGTTTGTTGTTTTTCGACTTTTACTTTATATCAGTATTGCTGTGTGTTTGATCAAAATGCTATACTTGTGTGAAAAGTGGTGCTGGATTATGGGTACTTCTTCCGTTAACTTTATCTTCTCAGTAATCATTTGTGAAATTATGAACTTGGGCTGTGTATCTGTTTAGCCAAACTCAAGTGAAATTTTCTCAATTTTGATGCTCTCCTGTGTAAGTGTTGCCAGATAAGAATTAAGTTAAAATGACTGGAGATTTATGTACTGCTTGTATGAATAAATGGAGAGACATGATCTTTCAAGGACCTACTTTTTTATCGTCAGATGGGCTATGTATAATTGTTTTAAGTCCTATTTCTCATTAGAATGATTAGATACCTTCACGATATTCCTTCCCCCTGTTTATGTTTCTTCAATGTTTCCTCGTAACATGTAACACTGACACCTCTGGAAAAAAATGTTGGTGTCTGGAACCAACATCAATACTTGTGATTACGTTTAACTTATTCATTTTTTTTCTTCATTTTATTACCGATGTGTCAGTGTCGTGTTTCCGGTGTCCGTGCTTCATAGCTATATACATGTTTTTTAATTGAGAAGATATTTATATGGCCAAACTATTTTGGCATGGTTTGTTTGTAGTTAGTATTTGGGCTAGTTAGTGGGGATCAAACCATGTAGTTAGTATTTGTGCTAATTCACTTTCTTTCTTGTTTTTTTTCCCCATAGTGTGTGTTTGTTTCAAGGTATATAATAAATTATAATTCAACTTGGAGAAGTGGCAATTGAAAATAATACATCTGTTTAAATGGCTTATCTTAATATTGTTAGTAGTATGATTATGATGTTAGTGGGGATTTTAACCATTGCACTCTCTGTTCACTTGTTAAACGGTGGAGATCTTATACTTCCATGGGAATTGTATTTTTTTAAACACTTCAAACAATAATTTCGCACTTTCACCTAATAACTCTACCACAATTTTCTATATTTTAATTCTTTTTTATCATGTACTAATTTTTTTAAATATAATTTCTAGGGGTGATAGTATTTACCAACCATAGTAAGTTATACTTGGGAATAATATTCCCCGATGCATCATTACTGTTAATATGATTTTATTCTGAAATAACTGCCCCCTTTGTAGATTGTTATACTTCAAATTAGAGAATGGGAATTAGTTTTCATTTCATTAGCTTTAGTATTCAATAATTTCCTCCTAATTGTAAGTTCTTGTTTCTTGATCTTTTGCCAATAGAGATCAAGACATATATATTACGGGACTGGTGTCAGTATTTTTATTTTATTTTATGGATTGCATCATTTACATGTGAACAGAATTTAATGGAGAGTTCCATTGGGAGAGAGATAGACACAGGCGTTGTAAAAAATTAATGATGGTGTTGGACCCACTTTGATGAAAGGTCCACTATCTACTCTGTGTCTATCCAAATGGAGAGGATCTCAACATTCAGTCAATAAGTTTTGTCTCGCTCTTACTTGATGCTTGTAATGATCTTCCGATTCAGTAGTTAAATATAAAAAATGTACTCAATTTTATTTTCTTTAAATGTGACAGGGTTAAAGAAATGTCTCCTGCGTCGCGATCCAAGTCTAAAGACAAAAAAGCTAGCAAGGAAGCTCAGAAAGCTTCAGCGAAGTCCACAGGATCTGGTAGTGCAGCGTCTGGTATTCCAGCGAGTGGATACAATCCATTATTAGGAACATTCCATTCTCTGGACATTTCAGTGGCACCCTCCACCTCACCAATACATTCTAATGGTCGTTTTCGGAACATAGACGAGACAGATGAACACCCTGGCAGCTCGGTGGTAGCCGGTGTTGAATATGATTCTGTTTCTAACAATGGTAGTTGGTCTGGTGAGTCTGAAGACCATAAAGAAAAAACTTCTAATCCCCCTGTTCGTTTGGAAGCAGTTCCTGGAGCTGATAATGATAAGCGAGAGAAAATCCGCCAAAAGAATGAGAGAAAACATCAAAGGCAGAAGGAAAGACGGGCACAGGAGCTGCGTGAGCGGTGCAGAGGATATCTTATGTCAAGGAAACTTGAGACACTTGCTCAACAGTTTGTGGCTATGGGATTTTCTCAGGAACGGGCAACAATGGCACTGGTATTGAATGAAGGTAGGGTGGAGGAATCAGTAGCATGGCTATTTGAAAGTGGTGAAGAAGATGGTCAAAATGATAAAACCATGGGTAGGGGGGGCAATTTGAAAATTGACATATCAGAAGAGCTTGCTAGGATTGCCGACATGGAAATTAGGTATGGTTGCTCAAAACAGGAGGTTGAAAGAGTCATTGTTTCCTGTGAGGGTGATCTTGAAAAGGCTGCAGAGATCTTGAGAGAAACCAAACATGATCCCCCATCTGCTCCTCCAAAGCCAGAGGAAACTGGTGATCCTTCTATCATCAACAATGGTAAGCAGTCAGGAGTTTCTAGTCAGAACCCAAGGTCACAAACCAAACCCGTTCCTTCTCCGAACCAACACAAAACAGATGACAAAGATTTTAACTATACAAAAGCAGCAATAACGAATGGAGTATCCTCAGATTCCAGTAATAAAAATATGCAACCTCTAAAGAGAATGCCACCCAAGTCTGATTGGGTAAAGCCACAACAGACCACTATACCAACTGACAAAAGGTGGTCTGGTGCAGGATCTAATCCTTCTGTTTCTTATACATTGACATCACCGTTGCAAGTGTCACCGCCACCTGCTAAGACTGATGCTCGTTTTGTGTCTGTTGGAGGTGATTATAAGAATCTTCAACCTGGAGTAGCCAAAGAACCCATAGTTGTAATGCAGCGGCCCCAAACTGTTAATGCAAAGCAGATACCAGCGGCAAGCATGAGTTCATCGCCTCCTGGAATATCTGCGAGTTGGTATCAATCGAATAGTGTAGAAGCTATGAGGTCTAATATGTTTTTACCCCAAGCTCCTAGTACTAGAAGCCCTAGTCCAAACTATCGAGGTTCTAATCAAATGTACCACCAACTTCCATATCAACCTCAACAACTGTTTGCTGCTGGCAGCAGCAATTCAGTAGATCCTCAAGCAGCCAACCGAGGCAATAGCAATTGGAATAGAGCGGGTCCGTCTCAAGCAATTGCTGCTGCATCTTCACTTGGTCTCTTTTCAGGGAAAGGTTCAGCAGCAACGTCTGGGGCATCTTCTCCCGTAGACTGGAGCACTGGTGGGTCCATGCAGTTTGATTATACAAGCATAGATTGGTCTTTGGATAGAGGTTTATCTTCACCAAAGTCAAATACTTTATTGTTGGGGCTTTCACCTTTTACAAAGACTAGGGCTCAAATGCATGATTCTAATGCTTCTGGAGTAGTTGCTCTACAACAGACAATGAGACCCTTGACCTCAAATGGGAGCAATATCACCGCACCCGGATTGCAAGATGGTGGAGCAGCTGCTGGTGAAAGTTCTACTGCAGGTTCCCGGGAGTGGAGTTCTCCTTTTGAAGGGAAAGATCTTTTTAGTTTACCGAGACAGTTTGTTTCTTCTCCATCTCGGTAAAATGATAGGTGATATAATGAATGAATAAAATGAAAGAAAAACCCAAAAATGTGTGTGGATTTGTTGTTGGTTCTTTTGATTCTATAGTTTATGTTTGTTGGTGATTAAGCTTCAGTGGGAAGGGCAAGCATCCAAGAAAATCATATGCTCACATTCACATTCACACTCTGCCATTCACCCAATCTTACGATGCCTGAAATTTTCGAGTAAAAATTAATAATCCTGCAGCCACAAAAGTAACAACAAACACCGACAAATTTTGTGGCTGTAGCACCACACCTACTTCAACCTTGTTAAAAGTGAACTCTAAGTAAGGACGAAGTGTTTTTTATCACTTCTGTCTCAAAATAAGGATCATACTTGATGTTTTTACATAAATTTAAAAAATGAGACATTTATAAAAGAGAGAATAACAATTTTATTAAATTATTTTTGTTGGGGAATCGTGTATTTAAATTATCAATGTGAGAGAAATAATAATTTAGGAGTATTAATTAGAGGATACAATTGTAATATTAAGATTAAAACTGTATTAGAAACTAAAAGTGAAATTTATTTTGGAATAATTTTTTTACAAATGCGATATTTATTTTGAGATATTTTTTTTTTTTTTACAAATGGACACTTATTTTAACAAATGAATTGATTTTGAAAATATATCTAAATTTTTTTTAAAATATATTTCTGAAAACTAAAAAGACAAAAATAAGTAAGAAAACACAATTCTGCTCACTAGACTTTGTTTAAATCTAAAAATTAGTCACTGAAGTCAAATTATTATTTCTCTCTCATTATTTACAAAAAAAATAAATATTGTTTCAAAATTTTCATTTGCTTTAATTTTATTATAAAATAAAAGCAATATTACACCGATGAATTTAACACGACTTTTCACTGTTGTACATATTTTTTATTAAACGAAAAATTAACAGTCTTGTACAATTTTATGTATGATGTTGAATCACTAGTTTTATGAAATTTTATAAAGAAATCATAACGAAATGGTTCAATAATTAATTTAAAGTTTTAGATCAATTGTTTTCCAAGAAGCCATGTGTTTTCATTTTTTTTATTTTTTTATTTTTGTTTTAGTTTTTAGAAATATATTTTCAAATTTTTTTTAGAGATATATTTTCAGAATCAATAAAATTAAGACAAATAAAATGTGTATATTATAATACATTCAAATATATATCTTCAAAAACGAAGAACATTTTCTAAATTTCGCATGGTGTATTATAAATACATAAGATGCTTTAAAAAATTCACCTAAATTATATAGGTCCTTTTGGATCTAAATTACTCCTGTTTAAATTTAGGATTATATGTTGTAAAGAAAAATGAATTTCCATAGGATAAAGAAGGAAGATTCTTTTATAAAATATACTGCAAAACAAACCCGACTTGTCGGAGGTATCTATTTGTTCACATTTTTTTCAGGATGAATCAAAGTTTTAAGTCTGTCCTCTCAAATGTATTTGTCACGTTCCGTTATATTTTTTTCAAATTTGTAGGCTTAAAATGTCAGTGTCTGGATGCGTCTTACCACACCTTCATTTTTCGTGTGAGACAAACTAAAGTATTAAACTCACACTCTCAACTATATCTGCATCGTTCTGTTCTATTTTTTACAAGAGATAAAAAAGGATAAGAGAAAGTAGTAGTAGACCATGATTCAAGATTAACCGAAACAAAAAGGGATAAGTTACCACTTGACTATTATTTTTTAGAAGATCAATTATTTGTCCTGGTTTAAAAGAAAGCCTCGTGGCATACTGACTTTATAAACTATCAAACATCTAGAGTATTATCCTTGGATCTAAATTATCACCAAAAAGAAAAAAAATTATTTTCAGTTATAAAACGTTATTACTAGAATGAACCATTACTTTTCAAAAGACGAGCTTATGGGATTTTTGAAATATGAAATCATGAAGTGGAATTGGAGAGCATTATGTTTATGAAGGTGTGAGAAAACACAAGAAACGGGGGGGGGGGGGGGGGGGGGTGGTTAAATTGGGTTTTCAAAAATGATAGCTTTTTGTGAAACTCAAACAAAGATCACAAATAGACTAATAATAGAGAAGGACACACGATATATCCTGGTTCACTTGAAAACTATCAAGCTAATCCAGTCCGTCCGCCAAGGTGATTTCGCCTTATACACAAGGACTTAATCCACTATAATTAACATGTTACACTGCACTAGCAACAGTTGGTGACTAACAACAAAGACTAATCGTCTCTTCTTAAGGATTCTGACTCAACTGGTCCATTAAGGAATTACAATCTGCACTAGCAACCGATGTGACTAACAACAAAGACTAACTGTCTCTTCTTAAGGATTTTGATCTAACTGGTCCCTTAAGGAGTTACAAACAACAGTTTGAACAAAGATGTTTACAATGAAATTGCTTTTACATAAGCAGATATAAATACTATTAATATCTCAAATGACTAAACACACTATTACAGTATGAACAATGTTTTTTCTTTGTATTGTGGTACTTCAATACTGTAGCTTTAGTTCTTCATAGGTCGTTTTTAATCAAAGAGTAACCTTTGTATTAATCGTTGTGAAACTTCTTAATTTCTTCAAGTAATCAAGTCCTTATATAGCCAGAAAAAGATCCGTTGGAGGGCAGATCGAGAATATCCTTTAGATAGCTGGCGATTTGAAATAATGTCGTTACGCAGGGATGAAAATCGTTCACAAAAGTTGTCCTTTGTACCATCAAATCAGGATAATGGAATGGTAGTGGAATGAAACGTTGGAACATACCATGTACTATTTTTCCTCGTAAATAATTGAGCTTATCTTCTTTACATCAGAGGCTTCTGAATAAAGATGATTGAAGCATGAGTAAAAGAGTTTATCACTAGGTCTTTAGAGTCTTGAGTATTCAGAGTCTTCAGAACTTGTTCACCAGAACCTTGTCTTCATAAATTTAAGCACTCAGTCTTCAGAACCCTTGGTCATTAGTAACTTAAGACTTTAGAGTCTTCAGAACATCGTTCAATAGAACTTTGTCTTAGGAGTCTTCAACACTTATTCTTCAGAAACTCAAGTCTTCAGAACTTCGTTCAACAGAACCTTGTCTTCAGAGTCTTCAGCACTTAGTCTTCAGAAGATAATGACTTCAGAAGCTTAGAAAACCTTTAGAAGTAAAGTATCATAGTCATGATCAGAGGTGGAAACCAAGAGAGTATTGCAGCAGCAGCATATTGTCTTCTTAGAATCTTTCTGAGTGAGAGTAGATCAGAAGTAGACTTGCTTCTTATAACGCAGAAACGACTTTGGTCAGATCAGAGTGGCAATGCACATGATCTCTATCAGAGTCCGAACCTGTTTCTTGAATCTTCAGAAAAACAAACGTCAGAGTATCAAAATTGTTCTCACACAAATAATACTTTGGTATTATCAAAACTTAGAGATATGTTGCAGAACCAAATCTTGTTCTAACAGTTTCACTATCATTCTTTTGCTTACGGTTGTCATACAAACTCATCGAAAATCAGAACAAAAATATTCTAACTCGGTTTTTACTTGTCTACTCTCTTTAAGTATGTGCATCAATATGTTATAAAATATGATCAATTATAGTGTACTAGAATTTTTTAAAAAAGAAACGAGATGCCACTGAACAATATCCTTAAAGTGGAAATTTTTGATGCGAGGGATATTGACTTTGTGGAGGCTATTTACCTTTTTGTTGGGAGATTAATATATACTCGTAACAGTATATTATGTATCTAAATTAATTGAAGCAATAACTTCTCATACAAATGATGCATGGGTTGTGATCAATTTCTTCCAAAAATTTGTTTTCCCATGATTTGGTGTACAAAGATAGGTAATTAAGGATGAAGGTTTCTACTTCATCGCTAAATAATTTGAGAGCTTAGTCAAAAATTTCAAATTTAGGCACAAAGTTGCATGAGACTTTGCAAGCATACTAAATTTTGAATATTTAGTTCAATTGATTCGTCGTTTATCTAAGACGACTGATATTTGATTTTGTTAATGAGAAAAATAATATTTTGGTTTTTCTTAAAAATCCAAGAAAAATTTAAGACTTTGATTGTTGTCAACAACTTTGCTCATACAAGTTTCAGTTCTGATTATAACGAGAATTTTATTTTTGTTGAAAACACTAAAAATAGTGGTAATCCCCATTTTCGTTGGCACATTACTGTGATATAAATCCATATTTTAACTTCTTTCGTAACATATCTTGTTTGCTCAAAATCCCTTTTAAAAGAAAAAGTTCAATATTTGAGACACTTTTATCATCTCAAAATCAATCATCCGAATTTCAAAATTGTACATTGTTTATACCCTTTCAACATATAATAGATGTCCATCTGTTTTTATTTTCATAGCGAACATTTTACGTCAAAATCAGAAATGTCAAAACAATGTGAAAATTATTGTTATTTATCAACACTAGAAAACTTGCATGAGGCCTGTCGATAGGACAATCCCAATGCCTCATACTCTAAATGATGTACTCAGGTCTGTTCAATAAAGAAACAACACAAGCATCATAGAACTCATAAATGTTTAAAATAACGATAAATAGAAACAAATGATAAATAAAATGTAGAAACCTAATAACAATATAAGTTGAATTCTAGAGTGTGAATTCTATTACTCTCAAGACCATAAGGTATTTATAGGCCTTGTGTAAATGGTCTTTGATGAACTTCTGCAACTGATGAAAACAACTAGAACATGAAGAGATGTGAGAAAATAATTCAGAAAAAAAAGGGATCAAATAATGACTTCTTATGTGCTAAAGCCAATAATTGCCATTACGACCTGATATTTCTTTTGATTTAAACTATATAGGATTAAGACAAGGTTGTAAAAAAAACTTAATATTGAAACTAAATTGAAAGAATCAATAGACTATGGCCCACACTATCTCCAAAAAAACTGGAGGTAGATAATAGCCTTTCATTACATCTAAGTGACAGTTAAAATTCACACTCAATTTGTCACACACCAAACAAAACACAATGTCTAATTGAACTACAAAAACATATATAAAATGGTGTTATTGTCCTCTTGTTCTTCTGTTTCACCATTCTTCCACATTCCAACTTTTTTGATCCAACAAAGGAAACCACAATTACTATTTAAGCCTCCTCCATTTCTTCATCAAACTAACCTTCCTTCTCCTTTGACTTTGAGTAGAAAAAATCTTCCCAAATGTTTCTCACAACAAAAAGAAACTCAATCTATACAAGAAGAAGAGAAGGAGGAAGAAGAAGAAGCATTTCAATTTGAGCGTTTGTTCTCCAACATTAACCAAGTTACTTTAAAGAGAGAACCTGGTTGGTTGCATTGCTATTTGCACACCTCTTTTTCTTGCAATTATGTGAATTTAACTTGTTCATGTTTTTCTTTCTTTTTGTGTTTTGGTATTAACAGGAAGCTTATCTAGTGCAATTTTCCTGGTTGCAGGCACTACAGTGAGAAAATCTTGCTCTTTCAATTTTGTAACATGTGCTTAATAGCTTATGTATTGTGTAATTTTAATACGTTTATATAAGCATGTTCATTGAAACTATTTTTTATTACATTCAAATGTATGAGCTTTATTTTCGTTATCATAGACTACGTAGCACAGACACTTCAAACGAAGACATGTGCTGCATTTGTTGTTGACACATATAGTGATGTTCAATTACTTGGGTTTTCTTAAATTATTAATAGTGTCTATCTATCAATGTTTTGTCTAGTATCAATATCGTGTCTGGTGTCGGTGTTTACGTGGTGCTACGTTCAATATCAATATTGTGTCTGGTGTCGGTGTTTGCGTGTCATCAGTGCTACGTTTAGTATCAATATTGTGTCTGGTGTCGGTGTTTTTGTGTCTTAAGTGCTACGTTCAATATCAATATTGTGTCTGGTGTCAGTGTGTGTATGTCATCAGTGCTATGTTTAGTATCAATATTGTGTCTGGTATCGGTGTTTGTGTGTCAAATGCTATGAAATATTGCAGGTAGGTGCAGGGATACTTGCAATTCCTGCAGTGACACAAGAATCAGGCTTTTTAGCATCCACAGTTACTTGCATTCTTTGTTGGTTATTCATGGTAATAATTTTCATTGCCTATTATATTTTTTTTCTTCTGAAAAATAAGCACTTCTGATAAGAACTCTTGTAGGTTGTGACAGGTTTGCTCCTTGCAGAAGTAAATGTCAACACCATGTGTGATCTTGGTTCCGGCGGCGTATCATTGGTAACTCCCTAATAGAATGATACTAAATTTTAGAGAAAAAGTTCCGAGAAGTTACACTCTGATGCGACTTTTTGAAGTTTTTGTTTTTGAGACAATTTTTAGTAACTTGATCTTGATTAAGTTCAGGTATCAATGGCTAGAAGAACTTTAGGGACAGTAGGAGTTCAAATTTCATGGTAAGTTTATAAATCAATGATTTCATGATTTTTAAGAAATATTTAACAATCATTTTTTTGCAGTTGGTCATACATCTTCATCCATTATGCAGTTTTGGTTGCCTATATAGCTCGTTCTTCGGATATCTTGACAAATTTTCTTCACATTCCAATGTACAAGCCATTAACTAGGCCTTAAATTCTGCCTGAATTTTCATATATCTTTGGTATTCCAAGCATTCAAAGTTTGTTAGGGGCTAATACTACAATTTTGGCTACAGATGGGAAAGTGGAACTTTGTTTTCATTGATTTTTGGAGGGATATGCTTCTTTGGAAGGTTTGTTTTACTTTCTTCATGCTTTCATAAACTTTTCTTCTGCAACAATTTGTGAAACACTGACACGGACACCAGACACGATGCTTAGACACGAACAATAATTAAAGTAAATGACAAAAGATCGAATGTAACCACTAGCGTTGATGTCATGTCAGACACTTGACATGTGACACACCTTCAATTTGAAGTTTCGGTGCTACGTATTGTATCCTCTTAACTGACAATACTTAGTTGTGATCTGTAGCCAACGCTTTATTGGTGCAATTAATGGAGTTCTAGTATTTGGAATCATCAGCTTTTTTGTAGCTCTTGTGGTAAGATTTTTATGCCAAAACTTATGAAACTTTCGTATATAATTTATCTCTTATCTATTACATGATTCATAGGACTCAAAAATGATTTATAAACCATATTTGTTCATGATGAGATTAAGATATGTTTTTCTATATTAGGCAGTTGCTAGTGGAAACCTGCATTTGGATGCTCTTTTAAAAGCCAACTTCCCAGCAGTTCCTATGAGTATACCAATTATCGCACTCTCGTTTGTTTACCATGTAACTTCCCTAACCTCAAGAACCTCAAGTTGTTGACTATGAAGCACGCACACAAACACGGATACCAGACACAATACGACATTGACACATCGGCACCAGTAATAGTTTAGGAAAATGAATCAATTGAACGTAATCATCACAATTCGGTGTCGGTGTCTGACACGATCACTGCTACGCCTATTTTCAAGGGTGTCGGTGTTTCAGAGAACTTGTTGAACAATGACCAAGGTTTTAACACTTGGATTTTATTCTTATTCAGAATGTTGTACCTGTTCTTTGTACAAATCTTGAAGGAGACTTGTTAAAAGTAAGGTGCCAAATCTCATCTTTGCTCTTTTCTTAAACATCAACAAGTTATGCATATTAGAAATTTTCTAGACTTTACTGCATCACTTATTTTTGTTGCAGGAGTGCAATAGTACTAGGCACTGGTATACCTCTTGTTCTGTTTCTCATATGGAATGGTGTTATCTTAGGAACTGTTGGTGACAATCCAATGGGGTTAGATCCATTACAACAGTTGAGATCTTCAAATGGAACAATTGGAGTAAGTTTTTTATGACAGAGTCCACTTTTTTTCCAATACTGCATTGAAGTTCATGACTAGTTAGTAAAACTTTTTTTCTTGCAGCCTATAGTTGAGGCCTTCTCATTTCTTGCAATTGCTACTTCTTACATTGGATTTGCTTTGGGTTTGTCAGACTTTCTAGCAGACTGTATGTATATTGTATTTCCATTTTCTCTTATCTTTTGATTAAAGCTAATACGGAAATTTCGTCAAAATTATTTGATGCACTATCACGTACTATGAAGCACGGACACAAATACTGACATGCTGATACCGGTGATAATTTGAAAAATTGATGTGATTAAATGTAATCACATATATTAGTGTTCAACATTGACACGTGCCCGTATACATAATCCATTAGTATCTGAACGATACCTTTACTGTTTTTCAGTGCTGAATCTTCCAACAGGCCAGAACAAACCTCTTCCATATATACTAACTTTAATTCCACCACTTCTACTCTCATTGTTGGACCCTGAAATATTTTTTAAAGCCTTGGACTTTGCTGGAACATATGGAGGTAAATGCTCATTATTTTCATTACCATGTTAATTTTAAGTGCAATATATTTTTGCACTCACCCGCGAGGGGGCCATGTGAATCCAGAGTACGGCCAAAAAGCAACATATGGACAATGATTGTTACAGTCCGGATTCAAACTCAGATTCTTCAGGATGATTCATTTTAATCTGACTAAAATTGAGTTGACAGGTTTTTTCATTGTTTATTGTCATTGACAGTGTTGCTGCTTTTCGGAGTTATTCCTGCTGCAATGTCATGGTCTGATAGGAACTCAAATTCATCTTCATCAGTGAAACTACCTGAACTAGTTCCAGGAGGGAGGATAACCCTACTAATGGTGCTTGGTGGTTCAGGATATGTTATTCTCTCTGAATTATTTGAGAACTTCCAGCACCTTTGAGAAAGCATTTTCATCATATTGATATTTTCTTACACCTTTTTGTCTGATTCTGTTTGTAATTATTATAAAAGCATATTTAAAGTCTTAGGATACCTTTGATTTGTAAAATAATAAATACTCAACAATACAAAACAAATTATTGTACTCTATTGAGTTTGATGTTCGATGCACTGAACAATATTTACAAATAAATACTATTCCAATTGGATAAAATTTCAACTCAAATCCTTATACCTTAATTTGATTTCTCTATTATTTAAAGTATATTTCAAGGGCTGTGTAGATGTTATGAACTGTCCATTTTGCATCCAATATACTCCATAACCAAAAGTATTGGTTCAATGGAGTTTTTCCAGCCTGGCAAAGATAGAGGATCAATTTGCATTTGATTGCAATGACCAACTATATTACAAAGGGACAAAACATATATACAAGTATCTTGTCTTCAATCAGAATCGTCTTTACAAGATTGTCTTTAAGGGTGTGTATAAGATGGACTACAGCAAAATGCCTCAAATCTATCACAAATAAATTGTAGTTAAATAAAACCTCATAACATGTTTGTCAGAGTTAAACTATATCTAAATAGAGTCCATAATTATTTGTCACAGACAGAGCCTCCAAAAATTCATGACGGCTCTGGATTCAATCTTTCATTGCATAACACCAAACAAAGTTAAGGGAACCAAAAGGGGAAAGAAACAATCAAATAATATAATGACATATGAAAGCTTCAAAGAGATTCAACTTACTAAATAATAACATGTACAAAGATTTTTAACATACTTCTATCTCCCATTTCCCTTACATGAGAAAAAGTTGAAATTACAATATTAATATATTCTTACCATCTCATTACAAATTTCAAGCATTATTCCACATGCAGTAATACTTAAGCCGCGAGAGGAAATGCGACTGCAACTTTTTTTAGTTATCGTGCCATCCATGGTAACTAGTTCCGTTATTCTGGTCAGCATTGGTTGAAGAAGTGCTTCCTTCAGAATATTGATTATTGTTTGAACTAGAAGAGCGGAATGGCCACAGAAACGAAAACGGATTTCTCCTTCCATTGTTCTGACGGTCATTCTCCCTGTTACTTGAGCTACCATTTCCACCGTTGTTGCCACCGTTCCTTCCTCCCCAACCTCGATTACTACCACCACGAGAACTAACTTGTCCTTGTGGTGGCAGCTCGACACGGCAAACAGGACACGAGTTATGTTGAACCAACCAAGGGATAATACAGTCAGAATGGTAAATATGGTCACATGGCATCTCTCTTGCTTCAGAACCAAGTTCAAATTTTTCTTTACAGACTGGACAATGTGAATCAGAGCGAAGATGCGCTTGGGTGATCCTAATAGTCGGCATTGCATCAATTGATGATCGTGCAGCTGGGGGTGGACCACGCCGATCATTCATCGTGAGTTGTTCGATAAGTTCTTCCAGTCCAGAACCCATAAAGTAGTCACCAAAATCACCGCGCCTTGGACCTCCTCTCGAGCTTCCATTAGGTAAGTTTAATCCAGGAACTTGACCGTGAAATACTAAAAAAGGACCGGAACTATAAACACCCCAACTCTGTTCAGGAACCGGGACAGACGAACCGGACCTCCCTCTAACATCAAAGTTCGGGTGCATTCCAGCCATCCTATGTCTCATGAAATTATCAACAGCGTCCATAAGCCCAAACCTGTTTTCGGAACCTCTGTTCCCCACAAAAGCATGAATAGCATCAAATAAGTCAGGCATTTGATGAAACTCGCCCGAGCGTGACGGAAGAGTATTTTGAGGTGCAATGCCTCGCATCTCGTCAAGTTCTTGTACGAATCCATCATCACAGTAAGGGCAGACAATATCTCTCCCTTCCAGCACAATTGGCCGACTGCATTCATAACACCAATGCGTTGCTCCACTTGACATTCTTCGACTGTATCAGAAATAGTAAAATACACGTCAAATTTTAATTTTCCTTCTTAATCATATCTATATCTATCTATCTATCATCTATGAAGCACATACACAAGCACGGCCACGGACACGAACACCGGACACAACACCAACACTGATTCGCCAACACTAGTAATAATTTAAAAAAGAAATGAATAAATTAAACTTATCACAAGTGTCGGTGTTGTGTTGGGGTCGATACACTGACACTACACTAACACGCCTTTTTCAGAGATGTCAGTACTACAAAGTCTATGATCTATCTATACAAAAATAAAAACAATCAATACAGTTGGAATCAATATATGAAACAAACCCTTAAGATTCAACATCCCAATTTTCTATTCTACTGGTAGCATATGTTGGCAAACCATTCATCACAAGCCCTTAAGATTCACCATCCCAATTTGGCAATAGTTAAACATCACAAAATGCAAACCATTCAGAGAAATTCAGAGAAATTGTAAACAGCAACTAGAATGAGAAATTTCATATTCCATCACACAAAACCTTTTTCTCCTTCAAACAACAAAGAACAGTTCCAACAGTTACATAATTAGGGGGAAACAAACTTATGCACGCATTCATCATAAATGAAAACAATTTACCCTAAATTTATGCAAAAAATGACCAAAATAAAACAATTAGAGATCAAAATTCATAACCAACAACTGAAAATTTTAGGGTAACAATAAAACACAGTAAGAAAAGCACGATTTTTTTTCAAATGGGGTTTCAATTAATCAATACCCATTTACTCATATAACAAGATTAGGCTAAAATTCATACATAATCAATAAAAAAATTGAAGAAGAACGATAAAAAATTCAGAGTTCATGAGAGTGAACTTACAAAAGAAAATAGCGAAAACTCAGAGCTTAGTAACCTGAGATTCTGAAGAGAGAGAGAGACTTTTGTGCTTTGTTATAAGGAAATTGACATTTGGTTTTTCACCACTTGAGATTAGAATAATGACTCATTCTTTCTTTTCTTTTTTTATATAAAATATTAATAAAATAAAATATTAATAAAAGGGAAGAAAATATTGTACCAAATATATATATATTAGGTGTAATTTGGAAATTACTAAAGATGTATAGGTAATTTCCATGTAATAAAAGTTGAATAATATAGAGTTTACTTTTGACCAAATTAAATATACAAAAATAGAAGGTAAGTTCACCTTGGATAAAATTATTAGGATATCTTTTTAATTTAACTAAAAATCCAATGTATTACTTCCATAAAAAAAAAAAAAATATATATATATATATATATATATATATATATATATATATATATATATATATATATATATATATATATATATATATATATATATATATATATATATATATATATATATATATATATATATATATATATCGAATTCTAACCATTATATTTTTTAATATTTTTTTATTACAAAAAACGTGTGTCACTTAAATTCATAAATAAATAAATAAGTTAAATATTATTTAACCACGATTTCACTACGGTTGGATATAACAACTGTGGTCAAAGATTTTTAAAATAAATTTAAAACAAAACAGATTCATTATTTTCTTTATAACATGCACTAAGCGAACTAGCAAATCAGAGACGACATCGATATCGATAGCGAAATCTTCATCTTCACAATCTTCGTTCATTTGAATCTTCATTCTTGATTATCTTCACTATCTTCATTTTTGGTATCTTCCTCTTGAAGTACGGTGCAACGTCTCGGTCTAATTAATTAATTAATTTTTGTGAATAGTATTGTGTGATTGTATGAATTGTTGATGCTTTGGTGTGTTGAGGGACCCTTTAGTGAAAGACAGTGACCTTAAGGAGTAGAACTTAAGGTGTTAGGAGTGTGTGAGTAAAATTGTAGAGATTGAGGGTGGTGAGAGTAAAACTAATTAATTGATATTAGTTAATATTTATTTGATTAAACAGTATTAGGTGGATATTATTTAAAATAAATATTGGGTAAAAATTATTATTATATTAATTAGTTGGAATAAGTTATCTATAATCTATAATCTATAACATATATAGGCAATACTTGGTTTTTGGTGTAACTTTTTTTTATACCAAATTTACCCTTATTTTAAAGTATATAACTTACACAATAACTTCCATTGAACTACTACTATATCTTTCATATAACTCCCTACTAATAACTTCCTACATAACTTCCATGTAAAATTAATATTAAATAAAAATATATCATTTATATTTATATCTTCTATAACATATATAAAGGTAATACTTGGTTTTTGGTGTAGTTTTTTTTATACCAAATTTACCCTTATTTTAAAGTATATAACTTACACAATAACTTCCATTGAACTACTACTATATCTTTCATATAACTCCTTACTAATAACTTCCCACATAACTTCCATGTAAAATTAATATTAAATAAAAATATATCATTTATATTTATATGTGTGCAATAAAAAAGCGGACAGACGGACACGCGAGTGCCCGTCTGGACGCTAGTAATAATAAAGTTATAATAAAATAAGAGAAAAAGGGGGAGTTGAGGAAAATTGTCAGACACATGGAATTAGAGATAAGGGAGAAAAAGAAAAGGAAAAGTCAGGGCTCAAGGGAGATCACCATTGATAGAGGTAGAAGAGAACTCTGCTAGGAACAACAAGGTAATGGTGGATTTTTCATTCCTATGGAGTTTGGCTTGATAATATGTGGGTGAGTTTTATCTCTATATGATTTGTTTATCTCTTATCTCTATGTTGTGATCAATTGATGTGAATTGATGCAATTGTGTGTATATTTGGATGAGTAATGTGATTGATGAATTATGAACTTGTATGGTAATGCTATGTTGGTGATTGTTTGGTGAATTGTGTATTGATGCTAGTAGAGTCGTGTATTTGATGGTATGATATGGTGATGGATGTTATGTTGTTGAGCATTGTTGCGAGTCAGAGTCGAAACTCGAGTATATGAGCTTTTGTAGAAAAGAATCGAGGTTTTTGGACTTTTTAAAAGTGATTTTCGTGTGGAAATGGGATAATTGATTTGTATGAAAAGTGGGGTTTTGAGATGTATTAGAAAGCGATTTTTGTACTAACAATTTGTAGAAAATTAATTTTGCTACAGGTGTAACCAATTACCAGAATTGGTATAAATTGTTACGCAGTTAAAAACTGCATTTTCTAGATTTTTGGAGGGGTGTAATCGGTTATCAGAATTGGTGTAACCGGTTACACTATGAAATAATGGCGAGGCAGGTGCTGGTTTTGGGTGTAACCGATTACACTGGAAGGAAAATTTATAAAATTTTAAAAAATCATATCTTGAGTCTTAGGTGTCCGATTTGGGTGTCGTTCGAAGCTTTAGGAAGCTGGTGTGATGAAATTTATTTTAAAAATAATTTCAATACATGGGGAGACTTTGGTTCTGCCTCTAATTTCCCCTGTTTCGCCCAGAGCTCGCATAGCGAATCTAGCAGCTTTTGTTTCATTTGTTTGTTTACTTGTTTGATTACTTCTTATGCATGACTTATGATAGTATGGATTGTTTTACATGATTATTATGACTATTATGCATGCTTACCGTGAGTGTTTGGTTGATTATAAATGATGATAAAATATTGGAATAAGTATAAAGAAAGTGAGGAAAACCTTATCACAATTGAATAAAATAAACTAGTGATGTAACTAGGAAATGATAGATAACATAGATGATAATGTTTGTGCAATGATGTCTAAGTGTGTATCATTTGCAAGTAGTTGCTTAGTTGTGAGGAAAGCTTTGTATGGAACACATATGGTTTGTGTTGTTTATGGTTAAGGCGAATGTGATACCTTGTGATTGTCGAATACAATCATGATATCCTTAGCTATTACATAAGCGAATGGAGCCTACGGGTGAAGAGACTTGTGATGGAGGGAAGGCCCATGAGAAGTGACAATTTATAAGGTCGATTATATGTCCCTTAGAATCTGAATCTATTCGATATTATTTATGTTTTATAACATAGTCGGAACCAATTCCCTTGAGATGTGTCGTTCCGAGAGTGGAGGCTTATATATAAATCTTCTCCAGAATGTACACATTATTAATTTGTCAGGTTTGGGTCCTTATGTACGAATGGAGCCTACACATAAAGAGACTTGTGATGAACCATGTTTCCATGAGAATTGATGATTTATCGGACCATGCTTCTCTTAGATCTGAATCCATCTCGTATGTCAAAGTACATTACAAGGATCCATGACTCGTGTCGATCTCTTAGACGTAGGAAAGGACGGGAAAAAGGGACCACAAGGATCCATGTGGTAGGTAGCATCATGGTTGAGTGACCACGAGGACTCTGAAGTGTTGTCGGAACTTGTGTTTTGAGGGTAGACTCAAGTCAAGAGTTAGAAGTAGAGAGAACTGGTCAGCTCAGTTAAGGTCTTAGTAGAAGTTGTGCTTCCGGTAACATGGAATTGAAGGACGGTGAATGGTTCAAGAAATCCTTTAGAATTGATGGAGTTGGAAAGTTGAATATCTCTGCCGGATGAATGGTCAGGGTATAAAGAAATATCTGAATTTGCTAGTGAAACCGGATTGACCGTTGGCATGGACAAGAATTTCAAGTACTTTCATTTAGTGGGGAAGGAAGGATGTTTTGTTAAGCATACGACATGAAGTCGGGAGATGAGGTAGTTTATTAGGATTTCAGTCTCTAAGGTCTTTATCATATTTGGAGAGAACAAGAGTATTACAGGAAGCACGTTCAAAGTGGTACATTTCCTATGGTTGAGAGCGTGAGAGATGAGGACGTTCAACACCCCTGTAAGAGTCTAGTGCAGTGGTAAAGTGTAAGAGGAGACTCTAAGACCCGACTACATGTTCCAAGTGAATCATGTATGCATTGGACAAAGGGTAGCAGGTAAATCAAGTGTATTCAGTCTATGAAGGGAGATCAAGTTCATGATAGTTCACCAGGAATTCAATATTCAGTGAGAGAT